TGCAAGAACCACATCCAGACCAATCCAAACCCCCAATTAAGGCTTGCCCCGAATTGGCCCTTTTAAGCAGGTTATCACCAGGTTACTAACCACTTACTAAGTAAACCCTGCCCCTTTAAGTATGCGGGTTTGTCTTTGAATAGGCCCCCGTGATTTCCCCCCCCACCCCCCAAAAAAAAAAGCAAATCAAAAAACAAGGCGAGCGTCCTCCTTGAGCTCCATGACCTCCTCTTGCTCTGTCAGCTCAAGCTCGCGGGTCCTCAAAGCGAAGCCCTGAAAAACAAAGTGGCCCGTTCCAGTCCCTCTCAAAGTGACAAACTTTGGGGTGGGTTGAATGGAAACGCTCACTAAACCCTACAAAACTAAACACCTAAGGGGATGGCTGGGAACCACCAAGTCAAGGAATATCTCATGTCCTCGCGACCTCTCTCCCTCTCTCTCTCTCTCTCTCGCTGGTCGGAAGCCCTGCTCTCCGAGGCGGCCGGCGGACAGTTGCGCCGAAAAAGCAGAACTGCGCCCGCAGAGCAGGCGCACGCCTCTCACATTGCGATCGCTTGCCACAAGAAATCGCCTGAGGCCCGCGCCAGCAAATTGCCATTGCGGCTCAGTGCAAGCGCTGTGAGCTGATTGTCGTGACCTGCTCGCAAGCAAGCAGCCGACCAGAAGCTGAAATATAGGGCTGCAGCCAACTCCAGCTTCACCACGCAGGAACCTCGTCAAGCTTGGGTCAGGTAACCCAAAAAACAAAAACGAGACGTGCTTCGGAGCCCTTTGACATTGATACCTTCTCTTCAGCCTTCTGCCTTGGGCAACTGTTCAGAAGGGACCGCCGTTTTCCAGCAACATGGGCGCCCTCTGGTCGCGCAGTCTCCGGGGTTCCCGGCTCTGAGGGGCGCGAAGGCCTCGGCACGGCCGTCCTTTTACTTGCTGTGGCCATGCCCTCCTTGCATCCAAAAACCAGACCGAACCTCAAATGGCCATGGGTCAAAAGCCCGGTTTCCCCCCAGTGAACATCCCAATCCAACCACTAAACTAGGTTCTAAACTGGGTGGTGCTACCAACCAAAATGGGATCCATTGGTTTTGACAACCACGGCCAAATAGTAGCTGTTGTCAAAAAAAAACGATTTCCGCCTTGGCTCAGGCCGGAACCTACTGGGCCAGGACTCCCACTCGTGCCATCGTCCATCCCAAGAGCCCGTCAGCAAGAGCGGGCCGCGGCCCGCCCGAGACCTCCGGACGTCAAGCGCAACCCTCCATATGCGGAAAACCTGGAGAGCGTGACCACAAAACACGGGACATCAAAAGGAAACCACCCATCTTTTTGGGGTCCAATTCCCATTCTGAGGGAAAATAGATGGGTTCCCTCAAAGCCATAGGCGTCCTTTTGGCAAAATAGACGGGGGGGCCCTGGCAAATGGAAGAAAACCAATCTATATAAACCAGAGCCCGTCTATTTCTATTGGTCAACTAGCGGTTTGCAGAAACTGCCCTAAATAAGGCCAGTCCAGCACATCTGGAGCCCAAGTGCTCGGCGTCAAGTGGACACTGTGGATTGGATCGCGGTTGGTGGCGTCATGGCGCACGCTGACCTGGCCGCGAGGTGGCTTTGTCTCATGGATTGCCGCAGCCCTAAAAAACATGAGGGAGCGTAATGTGGTCGTTGATCAAGTCAAGCAACAAATCTGCAAATTGCATCATAACTCCAAAGAATTGAGGCATCCCCGAGCAAAGGACATTTATCATGTTGAGCTCGCCATAAAATTGGCAGAATTGCCAGGGGCTGCTTGTGCCTCCCCAAAATTGAGGGTCATGGCTGCATATGATTGCACTAGGCGGCGCTGCCAACTGCTTGCCGCTCCGCAGGTTGAAGATCCGTGCCTAGCGCACGCCCATGCGGCAGCACACGTGAGAGCACTGCCCTGCATTCCCGGCTTGCCTGGCCATCAGCGCAGCCGGTAGCAACAACGCTTGGCCGGTCCTGGGCAATACGTGGGCAAACTCAAAGCACAAATATCGGCGGCGCGACTTTTGAAAGAACTGCGGCACGTCACCCCCCGTGACGGCTTCAACCGTACCCATTATCTGCTTCTGCTCGGTCATGGCTAAGGACACTCGAGTTACTTTGAGCGAAAGTTGAGCCACTCTGCGCATCACACAAGCTGTTGCTGGAGCCATTTTAACCGCCAATCGTCCCAAGGCAGCGCACGCCTCCGATCCCTTCAGGATTCGGAATGCACGCTGCTCAGGAGGATTTTGCGAGGTCTGGATCTGGAAGATGCGGCTTCTCCGGCGCTTCGCTTGCCTTCAGCCTGCAAAGGCTCACCTCTGAAGGCACAGCGCATTTGACAGCGCGTCCATAGTAACCCGAACCCGGGGTCCACTTCGTGACAAGATGGACTTAAATCCAGGGCTTCTCTTTTTGGAGGGAGAATGAACCACCGGGCTTAAACCTACCCAGTCAACAAGGTGGAACCCTGAGCCATGTCACAGAGGCGCCATCAGTCGGAATCCACGGCTTGAGCTCTGGCCGACGCCGATGGCGCCGATGGCGCCGCTGGCGGCGGTGGAGTTGGTGCCTTGGCCTTGGCCTTCGGCGCGGTTGCCTTGGCCTCGGCTTCTTCGGGCGTCGGCCCGCCGAAGATGCCGGAGAAAAAGCCTGGAGCGTGACCGGAGGCTTTTTGGCGCAGTCAATCTGTCTTGGGTCCAGTCTTTGGTCCAAGTCTGAGAGTCTTTTCTTTTTGTCCAAAACCTGAACTAAGGCGTGCCGAAGTAAAGGACCTTTGGTGAGCTCGTGATACCCCCCCCCCAAAAAAAATGGCAGACAACTGATAAGGAGACAAGGAAACCATTTGGACCACCTGTCCTTGCTCTTCGGGTTGGTCTTCTGCCGCCTGGGAACGCGACATAGCGGGGAAACTGCAAACATGTGGTGAACACAATGCCCTCGCACGGGTGTCCTTTTTGGGATTAGTTGGGTTTCCCTCGTACATGATTGAACTACCAGGTAAACCAGGGCCCTCCATTCTTCAACCAAACTGACCCAAAAAATGAAAAACAAAAGAAACAACACCTGTGTGGTCATTGTTCAATCGCCGTCTGACAGCATACACCAATACGCATCATCCTCAATCATGGCGGTTAACTCTGACTTTGACAAGTCTACATTTGCTTCGCCTGACTCCCCCAATCATCCATCCCCCCGCACCTTGACATTCCAACGATGCTGTATCTCTTGGAGCTCTTTGCTCTTGTCTGGCGCGTCCAGCATTCCTAGGCCACGCAAGCACATCTCCACAGAATCCTGCCCCACCCCCCTTTTGGGCAATTCGCCCCACTGGGCAAACTTTTTTTGTACGGTAAACAAGTTGCTGCAGGGCTTTAGCTCCTAGCCTTTGCACATGGGCAAAATCAGTGCAACGTCTTAGCCGCGGACTTTGAATAAAAGGCCTCAGTGCCCTCTGCTCATCTACGGTAAGGATGTAGTCACCTGCTCGGCCAATCGGATTGGGCCGGCCGCGCCGCACAGGACCCAACGCAAGGGCCATGCCAGTTTATTTCTGGGGTTCGGGGATATGTGGCCATGGGTCAAAAGCCCTACCATCCCAATCCCCACTAAAATAGGTTCCAAAATGGGTGGTGCACCTACCCCAAAATGGTACCATTGGTTTTGATCCACAGCCATGTGTGCACAAAGGGTTGGCTTAGGGTGGTGGAGATCCAAAGGGCGAAAACAACTGCTGGAGCAGCAGCTGCATGTAAATCAAAACGGGCATCACACATATGTGCGAGGCTTTTCAAATGATTGTTCTCTGCAAGCCGGGTCCTTCACTCAATTCAAATAAGATGACAAATTGTCCATGCTCCTCTACTGGCCCAGGAACCCCCTATGTACAGGACAAGTAATGCCCGCTCGTGTACTGTCTTCGCTGTTTTCTGTGGAGATGTTTGTTTGTATGCTTGTCTCTTTTTTATTGCTTGCTTGCTTGGTTGTGTTTGTTGGTTGATTCGTTTGCCTGTCCTTGTTTCTTTTGTTCTTTCTTTCTTTCCTTCTTGCTTTCTTTAGTTATTGGCTTGCTTGCTCGTTTGTGTCTCTCTTTGTGTCTGCGTCTGTGTGTGTGTGTATACGCGGGTGCGTGGACGGGTTCGGAGCCCATTGAGAGAAATACCGTTTTCCAGGGAACACATATCGTACAAACAATTGGGAGGGAACATCAGCATGCCTGCTGAGTTGACTTAAATGCGCGCCTTCATAGAGCACACCGTCTTCACCTTCTTGCGGCGGACCGCGTCGAGCCATGAAGCCTTCAACGGAGCCCTTCTTGCCTCACAGTGCGACCGGCAGCGTCACTGCTTCTAATCAAAATATGCTATGACTTACTTGGGGTCATGATTTGTCACGATGGTGGCATGCAACAATCTTCCACACGGAGCAACAGCTCAAATCTTGGCGTGCTTTCTGTGGCCAATGTCTGCCCTCTTTCCGCTGGATGCTAGCTGTGATTTTGGTAGTTTGTCACGGGGGTGGCATTCCTGTAGCAACCTTCGAAGCCCTATGCAATCACAATGTCAACATTAGGGTAAAGTGGGTGGTTCTTGTTATAGATGCACATGTGAGAACAGGAAACAAACACCCATTGCCACAAGCATTCGCATGACTGCGTCTGAGCAAAGCAATGCAAACACCCACCGGGCATGGAAAGTTCGGTCCGTAGGCATGTGCATACATCCATGTGCTCCATGAAATCACGGACATGAGAAGTGCTGTCTCAAAGCGCTGCCTGAATCCAGATTTCCTTGAGGAAACCCATCCCTGAGGCTGGAAGAACCATGGAAAAAACAAATCATACATATTTCACCACCATTGTTTGCCGTTCAGGCGGGTCATCCAATTGGGTCCCCTTGGGCCATTCTTGCAATGGAAATCGGCAAGGAACCCTAGGGCCATAGTACAACTCGGAAAATGTCCAGTCGCTGCCACCTGCTAAGCCCAAAGCCATCCATGAATTCGTCCCTCACTGCACGAAGGAACTTGCTGGCGGTGTCCGCCTTGACCGGCGCAGAGGCCACACCTTGCACGGCTGCAACTCCAACGCGGCATGTGCTGGAGGAACACTCTCTTGCTGGTGCGACTGGCAGGGAATGAGAAATGGAATGACCCCTATAAACCATCCAACCGGTGGGATTCCTTTCGGACCTTAAGGGAATCCCTGTGTTCATTCCCTCACCCCCTACTGAGCACCAGCAAGTTCTAGATCCAGCTTCTGCGGAGCGCCTTGAAGCACTGCGATCTGCTCGTGTGTGATGGCTGCGCCAAACTGGTCAGCTCCAACACCCAGCTTGCGCAAGGGGGCGAAGATGTCCTTAGCAGCTTCCACTTGCCTTTTCGCCCAGATACAAAGAGAAGATAGGTCCAGTAGTGAAATCGATTCCCTTTAAAGCCAGCAAGGAAAAACATAAAAACAAATATTCGCCTCGGCAAAGGCAAGGCAAACACTTCCCCTTGCTCACCTTTCGCATGCAGCTGTACGGATCAGCTCTTGTCAGCTAGGCGTCCAAGGGCGCATGCCAATCGCCCTGCACTTTCTCCGTCTCCGGGACCACGGTGACCGTTTCAGCATGAAAGCTCTTGGGGGCACCCGGGGCGTCCACACGCGCGGCCGGCATTTTCAGCAGCTGGCCATCTTTGGCCAGAATGGCCTTGTTGGACAAACGGCTCTTGGCGGCGGTATCAATGAGCGTCTGGCAGAAGTCCAAATCGCCGCTGAAGTTGTAGTGAGCAGAGCGAACCTTTGAGAGCATGGCTTGGAGCTGATCAAGGTTGATGGCCTTTCGCATGATCTCCTGCAACAGCGCATCAATTTGACAGCCAGGCTGCAGCCTACCAAGCAAAACAAAGCGACCACTAGCTTTGGCGTTCAGTGATTGGACGCATGACAAACGCAGCATCCAACAAGCGTCAATAACTCATGGCTTTGTCTCAAAATAGGGAACCCACAAGATGGATAGTTCGCCGGTTTTTGCCTTTACAGCAGCCCAAAGCTTGGTGCCCACTCAAAAACAGACACATCCAGATCCCCTTCGCGGAGCTCCTGACTCTCCTCGTGCTCGCACTCTGTGAGCGCGCCGGCCGCCAGGCAAGCCCAGGGCAGCACATCCGGCAGCGCTTCCAAATGGGCGTCCGCCACACGAAAGAGCTGGTCCAAGGTGGTCAACGTGTGCGGCAGCTGCGGGTGGATCATGGCCCGGCGCACCTAAGTGTCAAAACAGAACTGACAGAAAAGACTTGAAGAAATCCCGCAGCTTTTGGTGACGTGGCATGACGTGTCAGTCAACAAATCCAGGCCGGGGGCGGTCTTTTGGTGCGACGGGAGCGGTGTTTCGTGCGTTGTGGGACTGGTTTAGGGCTGTGGGCTTAGGGTAGGTCTTGGGACAGGTTTCGGGACGGTCTTGGGTTGAGCTGCGCAGAAAACCACAACGCATCAAGACACGCCAGGTGCCAAGGGACTGGCACAAATTGGGCCGCCACCGCCAGCGCGGCCAGGCCGGCTTGGACCACCGCAGCGCTCTCGCACTGCTTGCTGAGCACGTTAAAGATGAGCCGCGGGCCGCCTGCGTCCATAAATTGGCTGGTAGCCTTTCGGGACTCGATCCTCGGATGATAGCATGGGTCCGCATGCCAAACCTGCGCGCAGGCACGCAATGACGCAATGCAATGGACTCTGGTCTGGGCAGTCTTGCGCAAGTCCCCGGCTTCTCACCCATTCACGAATTTGCCTCAAACCTCACTGCTTGCAACCGTCGATGTACGTCAAGTCGGCCGGTCGGCACCCCTGTCTGCCCACTCACTTGGTTGTCAAATGATATCGCGAAACAAGCAGCACAACTTGCCTTGCATGCCACCCCCTGTGAGCGAGTGAGGTCAGCTCACGAGGCTCACAAGGCTTGGCTTGGAGCTGTCAAGCATGTCTAGCTCTTACCAGGTAGTTGGCCTGCTCAAATCAGCAAATCACGCTCGCGCAAAGAGGCGACAATACACTGTGCTAGACTCAGATTCAACAACATATGCCGCCACCCTTGCTGTGTTTGTAACGGGGCTGCGAGCGCAGCGCACAGCTCTTCATGCAGTTCGTCTCTAAGAACATGCGATGGTTGCGTTAGTCATGGGGCAACAAGCCAATGAGTCCACTTCATGGAAGTTGTTGGTGGGCGCCTGGCCTTGTGAAAACGCCAAGAAGCAAAGTCTCCTTCCCTGTGCCCGGTTGGCCACTCATCTGCGCAGCCACGGCAAATTGACAAACGCAGTTCGTCAGACCAACATCCTGGTGCCCATTGCAGAGTTTTGTCCCAGGCACAACAACTCCTTGAGCACATGCGCGGAGGCAGCGCAGGCTGCCGCAGAATGCGTTTCTGCCTCGGCAGGGGTACCCTTGTCCAGAACAAGGCAACAACTGGCAACTGGATGTCTTGACCCGTGAACGTACCCGACATTCATCCGCGATAAAAGGCAGCTGGTGCAAAGGGATTCAACATCCATCAAACCAGTAATAATGGCTTTTGGCGTAACACGTGGAAGATCGAAATGGCACAAACGACACCAATATGCAAATGCACCTGCATTTTTGCGCACCACATGAGCTTTGCAGTTGTGCCCAAACTTCATGTTGCAGGTGGCAAAACAGCCTCCGCACCTTGACATCCCCCCTCACATGCTTGAGACACTGCTTCTTGCAATCCCTCGCCCGCGGGCCTCGTCAAAAACTCGCAGAGGTACCGCCATTGCGCCAGCGTTCACGAAGTCGTCCCGATAATCAGGCGATGCAGTCGCCTTGGTCTTGAAGAGAGGGGAAACCCAAGGGGCCAAGTGTGTAAGTCTGTAAGGGCTCAATGCCCTCGTTCCTTGTTGAACTGGGTCGAAACACATGATTGGGCATGCAACCGGGGCCACCTTCTACATATTGCGCACTGAGACTCCGGTGGACCTCGTCGCCGTGCCACTCTGCTGAAATTGAGGCGCACTGGCCCTGCAGGCTTCCAGTTCCCTGCCCGGGACATGTGAGCGTTTGGTCCTGAAGGCTGCCGTGTTTTGCCATCTTGCTTTTGACGACGCAGCTTTCGCGGAGCGTGGGTGGCTACCTAGCTGTTTCATTAATCTGAAATCGAAAAGCTCAAGCGTTGCAGCGTTGCGGTCGCAGGCGTGCTCCATTGAGATCTGAACAAAACCGAAGGTTGTCGAAGAGGAAATCGAAATCGCGAAGCAACTCTCAAGCATCGGCCAAGATAGGATTTGCAATCCCAGTGGCTTGCATGTCAATGCAGTGGCACAAAGGTGCTATGACTCCAGAGTCAGCATGGTGAATGTCGCCGATTCTGACCAGCACGTCGGAGGGAAGGGCTTGGGCAAGTGACATGTTCACCGGCCCAATTCCACCCTTTTGGTTTGCCGCCGATGCCGCCAGGAACACTTCCAGGGACAGCAGGAGGTGAGTCACAATTTCCTCAGCAAGACACTTGGGCTTGGAGCATTGAGGCTCATTAAACGCAAGGTTGCAATCTGCGCGGCGATTCGATGCAACCGATCTTTCTGAGCATAGGTGTCCTTTTCGGAAAATAGATGGCCCTGGTAGTTGATTGAACCACCAGGCAAACCAGGGCCCTCTATTTTTTCAACCAAATCAACCAAAAAGGACACCGATCTTTCTGAGGCTCTGCGTCCCGGGTAGAACTCCGCAGCGACTTGCAGGCCATCATCATCCTTGGCTCCCAATGGCACGCGAAAGGATCGAGTCCAAACAACACCGCCAGTACCAAAGTAAATCCAAGCTTCAAGTTGAATCCAATGTAAATGGTATACCCAGGGTACATCCAATGTAAAGTCTACCAAGGTAAATGGCAAATCCAAGCTTCAAACTATCGGAGATCAATTCCGGTCCTCGCAGCCACTGCAAGGGACACTTGTCATGAAGCGGCACCTGCCCCCTGCTCGAAAAAGCAAAAGCGCCAAGATCAAGTCGTTTCACGTCAACCGCACCCCCCGGTGGCCATGGCAAATTCATCTGGGCGCCGCACTCTTTGTGGCCGCGAGGTGCATCAGCTCGGCGACGTGCAAGTTTACGGAGCGGCTTTTGGCGTGCTCGTGCAGCGTGTTTGAGATCGGCCTCACCTCGCCGGCCAAAACATCCTGCAAATGCTTGCCTCAGCTGTGGCCAGCGCTTAAATTGCAGATGGCCTGCCTCAACCACTTGAACCATCCAAAAAAAAGGATTCTCAGATTGCAGCCTTGAAGTCCAAGGCCCTGTGTTCACAAAAAAAAACACGGTAAAGGCACGAATTCCTGGAATCCAAGGTGCGGGTCATCTTGGCCATGGCCGAAAATGTGCGCAGCGCCGCGCCCGCCAGCTTGCGGTTGTTGGGGTACAGGTCCATAACCGTGGCCACCAGCCGCACATCCACCCCAGCGGGCGGGATCCCCAGATCCGCCACGAATTGGTCCTGCGCATCGTCGTCCATGGTGTAGCCTCGGAATGAGAGGATCCGAAGGGCTGGAAGGATCGGAAGGATCGGAAGGAGGAAGGATTAAGGATGTTCAACGCACAAAACCGCTTCCCGCTCATTCACGAGCATGGTACAGCAACCCCTTTCCAAGAGCAACTGAGCCATCAAGGATCTGTGCACCAAGCCAAGGTGGAAACACAAATCAAACATTTTGCCCCTGCACCCGTTCAAATCTGTTAAATCCCTTGCGAGCGACTGGCATAGTAGCTGCTGGCACTTTCTCTGGCCGCACGCTCCTTGGCAATGAGCCTCTCCACCACGCCATAGAGCTCGGCAGCGGTGACCATGGCTCGTGTGCAGAGGTACTGCTCAGATTTCAAGCCGCGCAATACCAGCAGGCAGTGCCGGATCTGCTCGTTGACGCGATGTGGGGACTTCAGAACGCAAAGGATTGACAAGGCATGCTCCACGGTCAGCGTGTTCAGCTTGTTCCTTCAAGGCTTTCATCGGATCATGGTGGCTAAACCTTCAATTCGGGCATGCTCATATCTGTTCATCTCAAACTGGCAACCCCATGCTCCTGTGCTGGTCCAGCTGTTCAATCACATAATCGATCAGTCCGGGCTCGCAGATTCTGCAGTCCGGGCTTGCTACTTCAGCAAGACCTGCGGGTTGTTTCAGTCAAGTTCTGCATCCATTTGCACTTTCGCCACTGCCATCAGTGCCTTGCAGCACCCGCATGTGCAGGTTGGGCGAGTTCGCGTCTTGAAAGCGCAATGCCACGCCAGCCTCAGGAATGCTTCCCGGGATCATTTCGCCCATTTCACATGCCCATTTCGCCCATATGCCCCATAAATCATGAATGTCATTCGAGCATCTTTCAACGTCAAACACGCCGACTACAAAGCTATGAGAACACTACAGAAATCACGAGGCGCGACACTGTCGCACTCTACTTAAATGGGCGATCGGGTACTTAGCAAGTGGGCAATAACAATGGTTATACTCCACAAAAGCCAGGGTTCTAAGTCTCCGGTCAGAACGAGTTACTTCACCAGTTGCTCACTCTCACCACTTACCGCACGTACCGAATCGATCACCCCACTCGATTCAAGGAGTGAGGTCGGCTGAGGGCCTGGCAAAGGCCCGGAAGAAGGGCACGCAAAACTCCGCCTGCTGATATGCGTCCCCTGCCCGGAAAAGCGTCGTCAAGGCCTCTACGATCCACAGGCCCAGGACAGAACCTGAGTTCTGCGCATTGCCAAGCATGCCTTTGCAGGGGAATTGCCACACAAGTTATGCGTAATGTCTTTAATTTATCTATTTATTCAAAGATAATCACATATGATTATATCATGCAAGAAGATTCGACATGGCTAACCCCCGCCCCGCAAATGCTACCCGTCACGCAGTGCGGTGCGTTTCCCTGCAGCCGGAGGTGCTGTTCTCATACTTTTGCAATGAATCCAAGAGCAGTGCTGCATAGGCAGTCATCCTTGCGTGAGCTCCGCCGACTTCCGCCTGCTTCCGCCGATTTTCTGTTTCAGCTTCCCTTCAATTGGTGGTTTGTTGGTTTGGTGGTTTCGGGGAGGGTTCCCTTTTACCCTCTGCAAGATTTAGAGGTTCGAACCCCAAACCGTCAATCCAAACCACCAACTGAGGGTTAGCTGGCTGAAGAAAAAAACAACCTGCACTGGGCATGAAAAAAGTGGACGGGCTCTTGCCGCCTCCTCATGCACGGGTCTGTTGGGACCTTGCCTTCCTTCATTCTGTACAGGGCATGGAAGGAACCACTAGGTGAATCATTGCTCCAATTGGATTCAAGTCAGGCCTGCTCATGCTGATGAAGGTTTGGCGCCAGGGTCTCCAGCTTTGCCACACGGGCTGCCAACTCCAAAACGTCCTTGCAGTCCGGGATGTGGCAGGGAGCAGTGGTCATGAATCGATACGAATTCTAACATTTGCACATGCCACACAACACTCCTGGCCGATGTTGGGCATGCCAAGTTTGCCATCCTTTTGCCGAAGTAAAAGCTTGGCGTACAGCTGGTCCAAATTGCGGGCGCCTTAGTGCCCAACCCAATCTTGGTAGCAGGAATCCGGGTTTATCCTCGACGCTACAGCCTACTGGTGGGCAGCCACAAAATGTAAAAGTACCCTGTTAGCAGTTCACCTAGATAGTGCTGCCCAAGCTGCTATGAGGTGGCCGCAACGGTAATACCACGCTGCGTAGATCCCTCAGTTCACAACGTATTTACGGAAGCTTGTGTTTGCAAACCTCTGGCCTTAAGACAGGCGAACCAGCAGGACAAAGGAGCTACAAGTCGGCTGAAGCTAAGGGTCGCAGGCTCGCTGGCATCCTCCGCTGCGATCGTGGCCCAAGGCTGCCAGCCCACTTTCGTCATCTTTTTCAGCTCCGCCTTCGCCTGGAAATGAATGATCAATGGTCGGCTAACCCATGAATGCTCTGGCTGAGCGTTGTTCAATCGAGGCTAGCTCATCCCATGCGAAAAACTGAGAAGTTTAAGATCAAGGTCGCGGAATCTCTCACTGGACGAGGAGGAGCCCGACGCCTATCAAGATAATAGCTCCAGAAACGGGGATCACGGTGGCTGGCTGCAGTTCCTGTGGCCACTGCCCCACCTATCACCGGAGCGATTACGACGGCACAGACGGATGCTTCTAGCGTGAGGCCATTCCAAACTCTGGAGCCAACATGGACGCCCCCCCATTTCCTACCAAGAAAGCTAACTAGACAAAAACAGCCCCTTCCCAAATGAACCCTTTGCCAGCCTCTCCCGTCTCCCCCACGTATTTCACAAGTCAGACCCATGACCCATGAATCGCCTTGGCTTCGGTTGTCTTCGGCTTCGGCTTTGGCTTCGGAGGCGGCGGCGGCTTCTTCGCCGCCTTCGGCTCATCGCCTGAGCCGTGGGCATTTTGGGCGCGCGAAGTCCGGCTGCCTCAAAAAACCAAGAAATCAAAGGCTAACTTTTTGGGGCCATGACTAAGAATGGACCCGAAAGGGGAAACCAAAAGCTCGAAAGTCGGCTTTGGGCAAGTGAGGAGATTATTAGAGCGTAGAAGAGTCCTTGAAGAGGAATGGCGCTGCTCAGACTAAACACCTCTGGACAAATACTGACGGCTGCCCCGCCTCCCAGGTTCACCTGGATTTGAATGCACTCTCCACTTGCTTTGATTAAACAACGCCTCTCCATTCATTCTTCGCAAAAAATCCCCTCATTCGTTGCCGGTGCGTGTGCATGCCGGACGTAAACTTGAGTTTAGCTCGAGGGAGCCCCCCTCCAAGCCACGCGTCTTTGGGGATTGCGGGGTAGGATGTCCATGCGGGTGGTGGCCTGACTAGCTCGCGGTGGCTAGCGCGTGCTTGGACCCCGTGGATTGATGGTGGGGGCCAGCCCTGCCATGCTGCCAACCCTGAGCCCTGCTTCAGCCAGCACCCAGGCGCGCAAGCGCGCACGCACGCACCCACACACGACATGCCCACGCACCCACGCACCCACACCCACGCACACACACACACACACACACATACATACATACATACATACATACCATACCATACCATACCATTACATTAAATTACATTACATTACATACATACATACACACATGCACAACATACACACACATGCAGGGAGTCTTTCTTAGCCCTTCTCCATGCCTTCGATACCACATATTGCCTTCAGTGCGCTTGCCGGCTGTTCGGCTTCCCCCCACTCGGCTGTTCGACAAAGGCGCCAAAACCTGCGAAGGCTGCAAAGGGCATCGCGAAGCTTGCAAGGAAGCTGGACGGCTCCGCCTCTGGCTGAGCCACTTCCCCAACTGCATCACCCTCGTCCACCTCCGGCTCCTTCGTTGGCAATTCTTGGGACATGGCACCAGCAATCCGGCATGTACTAAAAAATAACTGAGCAAAGGCCCCCCCGACTTTTAGGCAGGGGAGCTGAGCTTGTAGCTAACGCTTGCAAGCAACAAGGCAGGAATCCATGCCATCCCTCCCTCCCTCCCTCCCTCCCTCCCTCCCTCCCTCCCTCCCTCCTCCCTCCCTCCCTCCCTCCCTCCCTCCCTCCCTCTCCTCTCCTCTCTCGCTCCGCTCTCTCGCTCTCTCGCTCTCTCGCTCTCTCGCTCTCTCGCTCTCTCGCTCTCTCGCTCTCTCGCTCTCTCGCTCTCTCGCTCTCTCGCTCTCTCGCTCTCTCGCTCCCTCGCTCTCTCTGCCTCTCTCTCTCTCTGCCTCTCTCTCTCTCTCTCTGAAATGAAACTGTGAACTACTACAAGTGCGAGTGCTGTAAAAGCGTTGTTGTCACAAACTGTCCAACCTGTAGTCTGCTTCACACCTGTTTCCTCATGGGATCGCGTATAATGATGATGAATGAGCTCAAGGCCTGCGGTAGTAGAAAAGCAAGCACAACTGTCAAGTAGTGCGTCATGTACGTTGACATCGCTTTCTGCAAATTTTAGCTGTTTTGTGTTGGGCCGAAATCAAGTTGCCAAGCACAGAGGAACAAGAGAAGTCGCCCATGACCTGGCGGCCTGGTATTCAGGAGCATCCACATCGACCACGGATGACCCAAATCCACCAAAGGCAGCAAAGGGGAAGTCGGGCCAAACCTCAGCTACAAGTAGAAACAAGCATCTAGCAAGCCCGATCTTGCAAGCACTCAAGACTCAAACTCAAGACTGAAAGCATCTGCAAGCTACTTCGCCAGAATTTGCGCATCCCCCCTCTGCTCGCATATGGTCAACAGGATTTAGCAACTCTGAAAGCTGAACACGCAAGCCACACCTAAAGGTTCCATCCGCGCCATAAATGGCTGCTAACCTAGGCAACGCACCCAAGTCTGTGAAAGACTCTAGTATTTTCGCTCGTCAAGCAAAACGGAATGTCTGACGAGCGACACTGCTTTCTCAAGACTTGGCGAACTGGGTTTCAGGAATGACCCGTGTTAAAAAAGTATCTGTGGCAGCGCCTTGACCCTGCCGCGTAGCCCAGTTCTCCGCATGCTCCGAGCTCCCGCGGGGAGGCTGCCTCACTGTAGCCTCTTCAGATTCGAAATATGGCCTAGCAGGCGCTGTGTGACTCATAGCACACTGCAGCACACTGCAGCACACTGCAGCGCACGCTTCCGGGAAATTGGGCCCAATCTGGATCTTTCAAAAAGGGCGGTTTTGTTTTTGTTTCTCACTGGCACCATTTCCCTGAAAAGCAAACACACACACACACACACTTGCGCAATCAAGCTTCAAGCGCTTGCGCTTTCTGACACGCAGTGCGATGACAGTCCTCGGCACTTTCTTCTTTTTCTTCGGCACGGGCTGGGAGTGGCTCCTCTGATTACTCTTTGGTCTTGTCAAGTTGTGGCTCTCAACATACCTGTAGCCGTCTATCTCGCTCTCAAAGTGGGGCGTGGCAGCCTCAGCTTTACAAACCGTAACATCTGACAGCCTAACTTGGCCAATCCTCACTTGCTGAAAGGGATCGAGGCACCTCATCCCTCTGGCTGGCGCGCTCCCAAGCTGAGCTCGAGGAAACGGCGTGGTCCTTGCAGCCATGGCACTACCCATGCAACACCGCGACACAAGAAACATCAAGCGGTAGCGACGCTCCGTAACACACACACACACACACACACACACACACACACGCTCAAGCCATCAGGTCCCCAAACAAGCACATAGAGCCCAGTGCCTTCCCATTGGTGCCCAGCCAGCAAGGAGCTCCAACTGGCTCTGATTGGACACCAGGGTTGCCAATCCTATCTCTTGACCCCCGTTTGTTGAAAGATGGGCCACTGGACGGTCGCTCTGAATTGTACGCAGCATGAGGCACCTCCGTCGCAAAGTCCAGCTCATCCAGCCCGCGCGCCGGCTTTCCGCCGTGGCGAGGCGCGTGCCGAGGCGTTAGGCTGGCATCCCGATCCTGGCCAGGGCATGGCACCCAAAAAGTAGCTGAAACCCCCGCGCTGTGAGAGTCGCAAAGGGACGATGCTGTAGGTAGGCCTGGCTCAAAAGAAACGCGAACAAAGAAAAAAGAACTCGGTTCAGGAATGTCGCTGGCTCATGTTGAAACATGGTTTAAGCGGGATTTGTTTCAACATTCCCTTGACACACAATGAGCGGAAAAACGGGGCGAACATGTGGGGGCTTGTTCAAGCGCTGGACATGGCACAAACGAAGGCACGAGCAGATCACAGCACCCCACCGCCCTCCACCCACGCCACCCAACCCCATCCCATCTTTAAAAAATCGAAAAGTTGAAACGGGACAAAAGTCCAAAAAAGAGAATCACTGGTCTGGGACTAGGGAAAAATGTTGGACATTACCACTCACGAAAGAAAAGCTAGCCGAGACGAACAAGGCATCAAGCACTCTTCGCTTGAAGCCGGTACGCAGTGTCTTGATTCTGCACACTTCGTGTCAGTTTGTAGGGCGCGAAATGGGGCAGTTACGATGTGAGGCGACTAAGCTCAGGGGCTGGTTGAACGGTGTCGAAGCACGCTTCAATACAGTACACAGTACTATTTTCCCCCAGAGGCCCAGCGCGCTTGCCGAGATACCGCTGCGGTAAAGAGTGCGTTGAAACATGTTTAAACACCTTCCGGTTGGAAGCATGTTTAAAAGGTTAAAAAAATTAGGGAGGGCCTGTAAACGTGTTTAAAGATTTAATGTTTAAACGGTTTGATGGTTAAACGTGTTTATCCCTTTCCTGGCTCGGTTGCTCATGTCTGGCATGTTCCCGTGGCAACTTGTCATTGCCCTGAATTGCCTCGTACTCTCGAGGACCTCTTTCACCAAAGCCACGCGCTGGGTCAACACTTCTGGGCTCACTTCGTCTCGAGGGCTGCGATGAGCGGCTGGCCCTAAGGTGGCCAAAGGGGCGACAGGGTTCATCAGGTAAGTGATTAGTAAGACTGGCTTTGACCCAGTGAAGGGGGACTTATAACCATGGTAAGTGGGTTACAACCACGGTTATTACTATACCCACTTACTAAGCACCCTTCCCCTTCAAGTAGGGCAAACAAGGTCAACTCGAACTGGTACATGATTTGTTTTCCTGTGCCGAGCTTGCGGTATCTTGCTTTTGCGCCTGTCAACTGTGGCACGAAAGCAACATGTTCATCAAGCTTGCAAATGAGCGGCAGCAAGCAGAAATCCGCTTTGGACAGCCAAGAGTCAAGTCATCCGTAGCCTCATCATCCTGCTCATGCGGCTCTGGCTCTTCCCAGCCGGAGAAAAAGCCACCTGCGTGCAGCAGCAAGACATGCACAACATCCAAACGCGAAGGAACACTGGCTAAAAGGTGAAGCATCTTTGGTCTTTCAGACCAACTGCATGTGCGTAGAACTTTGCCTGGCCTCTCACCGGCTGCTCCTCTTCTGGCTGCCGCGGTGACTCAAATCGCTCCCTAGGAGTGACCTCTGTATCCCTTGGAAGAGCCCTTGGAGGGGCCCGTAGTGGTGCCTTCTTCCTCGAGGCAACTGCTTGCGTCCGGCGATCCAACTCGGCTGCCAAGTTGTAGGCTACATCCGCGCCATGGATGAAGTCAGGGCGTCCCTGACTGTCCCAAGCCTTCTTCTGTGAGCGACGGTGGGCATCGGAGGGAGGAAGCTGAGGATATGCGCTGGGGAGATCTGAGGTGGGACAAACCCCAGCCGTACTCTCCACAACCCTAGTGGCTTGAAGCCGGTTCCCTCTTTCATCCTGTGGCTTCACACTGGAGAGGTCCATGTGCACCGTCAAGGGCTTTTCACCCTCCATGATGTACTCCTTGTGGCTTCCCCGGGTTGCTGGGAGCTGCGACAAGGGCACCGCCACACTGTTCTGCAAAGTCGGCCCCAATATCCTCGGGATATCATGCCACGAGTACGGCATATTTACAAGGGCTTACTTGCAGGCAAAGTATCGCAGGCATTCTATTCTATGCCCAATCCTCATGTGTGTGTGTGTGTCTGTGTGTGTGTGTGTGTGTCTGTGTCTGTGTCTGTGTCTGTGTCTGTGTCTGTGTCTGGGTCTGTTTCTGTTTCTGTGTCTGTCTGATTGTTTGTTTTTGTTTGTTCGTGTGCGTGCCAATGTGTGTGTGTGTGTTGTGCGCGTTTGTCCGCGTGCGTGTGTGTGTGTGTGTGTGTGTGTGTGTGTGTGTGTGGTGTGTTGTGTGTTGTTCTGTGTTGTGTTGTGTTGTGTTGTGTTGTGTCGTGTCGTGTTGTGTTGTGTTGTGCTGTGTTGTGTTGTGTTGTGTTGTGTGTTGTGTTGTGGTGTGGTGTGTGTGTGTGTGTGTGTCGGTCTGCGTGTGTGTGTGTGTGTGTGTGTGTCTCTCTGTGTGTGTGTGTCCGTGTGCGTGTGCGTCTCTGTGTGTGTGTGTGTTTGTGTGTGTGCGCGCGCGTGTGTGTGTGTGTGTGGGTGTGTGCGTGTGTGCGTGTGTGGGTGTGTGGGTGTGTGGGTGTGTGGGTGCGTGGGTGTGTGGGTGTGTGGGTGTGTGGGTGTGTGGGTGTGTGTGTGTGTGTGTGTCTGTCTCTGGGCGTGTGCGGGTGTGTGTGTGTGTGAGTTTGTGTGTCTGTGTGTGTGTGTCTCTCTGTGTGTGTGTGTGTCTGTATGTGTTCATTTGTGTGCGTAGTCTGTGTGTCTGGGTGTGTGTGTGTGTGTCCGTGTGTGTGTGTGTGTGCGTGTGTCTGTGTCTGTGTCTCTGTCTGTGTGTGTGCGTGACCGCGCGACTGTGCGTGCGTGCTTGCAGGTTCGTTGTTGTTTGTTTGATGGTTGTTTGTTTTTTGTTTGCGTCTTTGTTTGCCTTTGTTTGTTGGTTAGTTAATTGTTTGGCCAGTTCATTGGTTGTTTGCTAGGTAGCTAGTTAGTTAGTTAGTTAGTTAGGCAGTCAGTTAGTTAGTTACTTACTTAGTTAAATAGTTTGTTTGTGTGTGTGCTGTTTCTTTGTTTGTTTGTGTGCGTTGATTTCATGCGTGGGTGGGGTGTGCGTGCGTGCCTGCGTGCCTGAGTGTATTTGTGACTCTGTGTCTGTTTGTGTGTGTCTGTGCCTGTGTCGAGAAGACCTAAATAAACTGCCCCAATAACAATTCCAATATTTCCTACTAATGCAAGTGGAACAGTGTGCCGCATCATGCCGCATTCCAGTACTGTAGCCATGCTGGGCACTCTTTCACAACTCAGGCCAAGCGTCCATACCTCGGCAGTCGCACTGCCAGCGGCTATCGCCGGGATTGTAACACCAAGCGCGCAACGCTCCCCAACTTCATCTGGAAAGTCAGCAGAGTTCCGTGCCAACGTAACACCAGCCTGATCAGCTGGGCAAAGCGGGCCGCTTCCACCACACCGTGCTAAATAACCCTGCTAAACATTTCAGAACGACTTGGTTTCCATGCCAAATTGGCAAGGAGGCAAGGACTCCCTGAAACAACCCTGTGTCCTTGTCAATGATACAAAGCTCCACGACGGTACCCGGCTGCTGCCGTCGTGACACTCGCAATATCTCCGCATATACCTGTGCAAGGCAGGCAAAGTTGAACTTAAATCAGCGAGTTTCAAGTGCCGCGGGTCTCATCACACTACTTGTTTTATCAGATTGGACCAAGCGCTTCACCCAGGGTATGGGGGCCTGGCACTTATCAACTGAAAACAAAATAGACAGTACCCCATACTTTGCTGTTCTCAAACCGGGGTCAGGCCTGAGTACCTACTATCCGGATTAAAGACTAGCGGTTCAGGATCACCCCCCAAGGCAAGAAGAAACTAAACAAGTTATGTTGACCCAGGACTAATAAAACCGTCCCATTATTAAAGGGGTGTTCCCTCCAAAAGTGATGAATCCCCACTAAAAGGGGACACCCCCTATTAATCAAGCATGGATTTATTACTCCGGGGCTAACATTATGACCATGGCATGGAGACTCACGCTTTCTGCCAAGTAGCGTATCCATCCTGCGGCGGTACAGCTACGTGAGGGTCGCTCCAGCCATAGACTCGTTCAGCCTCCGGGTCCGCCCGCAACTGCCGGTGGGCCGCAAAAAGCTCTTCAGGCGGCACTGCTGGGTCCACTCCTGCGACGTGGCGTCAAACCCAGCCATCTGATCCCTGCTGGATGTGGTTGCTCAAAAATTCCCTTCGGGCCACGGACATGCCCATGGGCATTTTTTCCATGTAATTGAAATGTCTCATCCTTTTAGTGGTTTTCCAGAAAATGGAAATTCCAGGTAGAGGCCAAAAGCAAAAACCAAACCGTGAGGGGCCCTGTGCTGAGATACATCCAGCAAGACGCCGAATGCGGCGTCTCGGTAACTCAGCAATGGCATGCCGGCAGCATGGTTTCGAACCTGGCAAAAGGAATTGGAAAGAGGAATGGCATCTCCGCGATCGTTCTTCTCTGCCTGGCTTGCCCGCCACGTTGTCGTCGTGATCCAGCCGGTTCTTCCGATGCAGCCAAAACCTGGAACTGCTATGGCGCATGCACAAGTTTATGCCTCCAAACCGAGCCCTGTACTTTCTCTTCAGGTCACGCACTCCAAGCCCACCCAAGCGGTTTCCTTGACTTACATGTTGCAACTTGCAACCCAGGAAGCTGGTCCCCTGCTGCAACCTCGCGCTCATGCCGCAGCTGCTCGAGCATACGCTTTTGCTCCACCAGTACCTCGAATGCCAATGCAAACATTTGAGTGACACGGGAGCAACATCATTGATGTACCCTGAATGTACTTGAAGATCAGGCTATGGTCTGTCACTGAACTCGCACTTGCATTAGCTGGCACCCGTAACGAAACGCTGCGTGCACTTGCGCGTACTGCGCCGGCCTTGTAAAGGCACATTGCCTTGCTCCAACTCTCCAGCCAATCAAAGTAAACAACAAAAACGCTGACAAAATAATACTACTATTACGCATGCCCCTTGCTTGTCTTCTGTTCCGTTGCGGGAATAGACGTCACGGTTTGCAAACAGCGTGCTGTCTTGGAACGTACCACGCAAGGCGTGTTTCGGTCACGTCCGGCCTTCTGCTGTTCCCGGAACTCCTCCTGGATATTCCGCGGCACTGCTCGGCTCTGCTGCAGGTGTTGCACTGCTCGGTCCCGGCCACCCTGGTTTAGCTGCAGGCCGATCTCGTTGAGCTGCGTTCGCATGCGCGAAGCGTCGTTCAGCAGCTGGTGGAACGACATGTCCAAACCATCCTGGCCGAGACGTGGAAGCGAGCCCAGGGCTACGCGGGCCCAGAGGCTCGGGGTCAAGCTGTTGAGACCAACATCTTTGGGCCTTGAAACCTCCGGCAAGGAAAATCGGAAACGGAAAGTTGAAAGTAATCGTTAATGAATTATTTTGCTCCAAAGCCAAAGCCCCAGCCAGCCATCTATCCTTGGCTCGGATTTCAACGTGCACCTTGACCGTTCACCCACGAACCGACTTGAATGCCTGAAGCCAAGTGACGTTTGACTTGGTACCCCTTGTTTGGAGGCTTTGAGGGGGCACCGAAAAGGAAACCACCATATTTTGGGGGGTCTAACAAGAAGACATATCCATGTCCCAAGCACAGCTAGCCATGCGCCTTGCGCTGGGCAACCCCATTGGGGCCGCGGAGCTCCTTGCTCTGTTCATCTGCATCTGCTTGCTCCTGCACGCGGAGAGAACGCTGGCTTCAATGTAATTGCTCCGTAGGCGCGTCCATGTCCAACGACTCACTTGCACAACTTACTCTTCCCAAACTGAAAACTTGAAGCTCAGGCTCCCAGATCGGAAGCCTGCCAGCTTTACCTGACGGGGCCTCTTTCAGGTTTTCTACAACAAATGCCTTCACTGCACCCACACCTTCCTATTCTATAGGATTTCCTTGATCCTCATGCCCGTGCCCCCCTGCTTGCACAACAATCCTCCTGCACCTGTTTGTAGAAAATAGCAACCCTTCTGGTAACCCACCTGGAGACCACCCGACGGTGTCGCCAGGCCCTTTACTTCAAGGGGAGACCGGGTGCTTAGTCTAAGTAGCAGGGTAAGAGCCATGGATGTAAGCTATAACCCACACAAGGTTACAAGTTATAGGTCTAAATGGGTTGTAACCAGGCTTGCTAACCACTTACCTTCCCCGATCGCCCCTTTGACCTGTGCGACCTGCTGAAGCTCTAGAAAATAGTTTGGAGGCGATGTTTAGTGGATTTCACCAGTTTTGCTTCCCCCTTGTTGGTTCTTCATATATATATATATATATTGTTTGATTTTTTTTTTAAAAAAGAGACAATATCAAAAAAAGAAAGCATGTCCTACAGAAGTAGTCCAACAGAATCGTCACCTCCAAACCATCTTCTTGCCTATCCCACCAAGTGGAGATCGATTTGGCCATGGGTCAAAATCCCGTACCCCAGTGAACATCCCAATCCCCACTACAACAGGTTCTAAAACGGGTGGTGCACCGCAAACCCCCAAAATGGGATCCCAAAACGGTTTTGACAACCGCCATTTCAAGGGAAACCTTGTGAATATGGCACATTCGATGCAAAGAGTTCGCGGGATCAACCAACGCCATTTCAAGGGAAACCTCGCCGAGTTCTGCCGTTCGGCTCCTGGAACTTCTTCCAGGCCGCCTGCCCGCTGGCGATCTCCTCCAGCGCCTTCTCGGCACGCGAGGGCGGCAGCCGTGCAGCCAGGCGCTCCTGGCGGTCGCTCGCGCGGGTTGGGCGTGGGGTGGAACCTGACCTGGTGCGATAGGCAAGGAAGGGACAGACCCCTGGAAAAAGCAAGCCCTTAGGTCCACTCAAGGAACATGGGTGATGAGTTTGAATACTTAAAAGGGTCGGGTACTTAGCAAGTGGGTAATAACCCTGGTTGCCCCTGCCCTTGACAACCATAGGAACATGGTTTTCCCCTTGCTTCCGTGAAACTTGTTGGTGCGATGGGCAGGGAAGGAAATCACAATCCAACTGGTGGTTTCCTTTTGGGATCCCCTTCCGGTTCATTCCCAGATCCCCGTGCCATACTTAAAGGGGCGAGCGATTCGGTACGTGAGGTAAGTGGTTGTAATATCCCTGGTGAGATAACCCACAGCCGTGGTTATTGGTCTCCCTTCAGTGGGTTATCACCAGGCTTAGTATTACTAACGAGTTGCTAAGTTCAAGTAAGGTTTCTCGCATTCCCTTCAAGTGTTTGCAACCAAGCGTGTCTCCTCAACCACTGGGCTCAGCAAACAAGATACCAAAGGGCATGGTTCAAATTCAGAGTTCGGCGGAGACATGTATCAAGGACTGTTGTATACTGTTGTCACGTACCCCTTGGGGCTACAGCCTTGATCCAAACTAACCCTGTTCAGCATTAGCCTGGTTCCAGTTCAGCATTGGAGCATTGGAGGATTGGAGGGTGCGTCTATCTGTTGGGGGTTACCAGCATACGTCATCTGTACATATATAGGTATAGATGGATATGGCCCAATATTTCAAAGTATGCACCGTTGTATGGTGATCCGGACATCTGGATCGGTCTGGATCAGCTGCGGTTTGGGGGTTTGGCCCCTGATCCGGACCCCAATTCTGATTCGCACATAACAAGTGCAATCGCCCACACACACAAGCGCATTGGCTGTTTCGCCGAGGCTGCACGGACGGAGCCTCTGTCTCTGGAAGCCAACCGGACCACCTGCTGGAAGCCAGCGCGTGACTTCAGGTGAGCAACTCGCAACTCTCGACTGATATGCCTGATGCAGCCGAGGGGAGCCGACAAGATGAGCTTTGTGGTTGATTGAATCCGAACGTTGGTGCTGTGGATGGACGAATTCCTGCACCACTTGGAAATCATGGGAAACCATTCTTGGTTGGCATTGACAAGGGAATCATCATTCCGGGGTTTCTTGGGTGGTGCAAAATGGACTTCGCAACCATCCACAGTTCCTTGAATTATGTTGGACTCCTCGGCCGCACGCAAAGCTGCAGGCCCATTGGGGCAATAGGAGTCCGGCAGGACCGACCGGCCATACCTGAGCGAGCTGAGGTGTCTCTTCGCACGGTTTTCGCAACTGCATGGTGAACGGCCTTTCAGGTACATGCATGTTGTGCCAAAGCAAAGCTGGAATGTCGTGCGAGTGTTCGAGTTTGGATGAGCTTCACCCCCTCAAACGAGATTGAAATTGAGCTTCCGAAGAAACACCCATAACTCACATCACAATGGATGATTGCATGGTGGCAAAAATGCAGTTTGCATCCATCTGCAATCCGAGACAAGGAGTAACAACCCATTTGTCCCGTTGATTGAAATGCCACGTTCTTGCCATACTTGACCAGCAAAAGTGTCTCCATGCCAGATTGAACTGCCATGTTCTTGCCATACCTGTGTGACCAGCAAATGTTGTCTAACCTTTCTGCTTGGTTCTGATTGGGCACTTCTCTTGGATCTTGTACCTGTCTTGCAAGGCATCGAGCTCCTTGACCAGCTCCTTGCGATTCATTGCGCATGGCACGCGGAGTGAGACCGTGAGACCTGGCGAGTCGAATGGGCTGCTTTGGCTGGTAGATCTTCGGCTCATGTTCTTCAAGCAGTTGTGGCATCTTGCTCCAACACGTGATTTTCCATAATTTCCCCCACGCATGTGAGCCAGGTATGACTGCGCGGGTTGCGCTACGTGCTCAGCTTGAGCCTTGGCAGCACGCCTTGACGCCCGCGGTGCATGATTCTGGCTTATCGCGCTCGCTGGCACTGGAACATTCGGCCGTCCCAGCCGGAGGGTGCAGACTGTGATCCCGGCGCCCACGAATTGCCAAATGCTTCGCTTGATCGTGTCAGGCAGTGTCTCTGCCTGCCTTGGCACAGCCAACGCAGGCCGAACGCTCATGGCCAAACGAGTACGGCTGTTTCGCTCAGCCGCCTTCTGCAAAAGCTGGAGGGTCACAAGTCTAAAGACTACTGAACCAGTACAAACCAATACTAAACAGAACTGCGCCAGCTCGCACGAAAACAACAACACATCTAGCCATTACTAAGCAGTGGCTTGCTGTCCAGGACGGTGTATCTGATCAACGCTGTTTCCTGCGCGCCTGCTTACCAGTTGGAAAAAGGAAACAAAAAACAACAACTGCTGCCTTGATCGCAGCATGCAGCCGGAACAACAACAAGAACCAGCATTCGCATTCAATGGCGCAAATGGGATGTCCTCAGATCCCTAAACGTCTAACTCTTAGTGGGTTAAATGGAAACCCCGCCAGTAAACACCAAAAACAACTGGCCTACGGGGCCGAATGGCCGGAAACCACCAATGCAAGCAAATGTTGCTAGTTTGACTCGGCGGATTCTGGTCAACTCGCTAAGTCAGCCGCTTGAACATCTTCTGCAAAGCCAGGACCCGCAGCACCGCAAGCTCATGGGCGCTATCCAGGGGGGGACCTGGAAGCCAATTCCCACAGGAAAAGCGGAGTAAAATTCAAATGCTGACATTTGAGCAACGACCCCACCGGCAAAACGTCCCTTGGGCGTCCCTTTTTCCCGGCTGAGGGGCGCCCGCGGGGTTTGACCAAAGAACACCCCTCATCATTATCTGTGTCCCTTTCCCCTCTCCCCAAAAAATCCGAACCAACACAACTACAGCTGCAAATTACCAGAGCCGTTGCCAATACGTTTGCCGCAGACTTTCCATAGTCCCAAAGAAAGCCGCTCCAAAATCATGCGAAGCCGCTATCTGGAAACCGTGAATCTCATACTACAGTTGTTTTCAACATCGGGGCAAAGCCTGCAAAGAAAATATACGCATGCTTTGCGTTGGCTGCAGCATCACCTCAGTCATCTCTGCATGAAAGCAAGCAAGCAAGCAAGCAAGCAAGCAAGCAAGCAAGCAAGCAAGCACGCAAGCATGCATGCATGCATGCAAGCAAGCAAGCAAGCAAGCAAGCAAGCACGCAAGCATGCATGCATGCAAGCAAGCAAGCAAGCAAGCAAGCAAGCACGCAAGCATGCAAGCAAGCAAGCACGCAAGCAAGCATGCATGCAAGCAAGCAAGCAAGCAAGCAAGCAGCAAGCCAGCCTGCGAGCAGGCCAGCAAGCAAGCAAGAGAGAAAGGCCGGGCAAGGCTCCTATGATTTTACCACAGGTTGACAGACTAGTTGCTGCTTTGGGCTTCCCAACTACCGCATTGAGACGCTCAGTCGCTCTGCCGAGCCCATGGCCCACGTCCGGCCTGCGAGGGGCATGCTGCCTGAAAAACCCTTTCCGCCATAGACACAATCCATCGAGGGTTCGTCCCAGCTTGAACCCCGAGAAACCCTCCCTCTCCATCACAAGGGGAGCGGGACAAGGATCTTGGTTTGCCCACTTGTTTGAAACGTTGGTCTTGCCGAGCTTGAAAGTGCTCAAGGCTCCTTGTTGGCCTTGCCAACCTTCACTCCAAGTTGTGTACTTGGTGTGGCCCAAAGAGTTGAACCTTAAAAAATGCAGGCGGCACCTATACAGACTTGCCGTCACTGCTCATGCTGCCAGACGAGTCTAGGCCTCAGCCTCTTCCAAGAGCGGCTGCTGCATGGCTGACCGCGCGCGGGTGAGCATGACGTATGCCGCGGCAGCCGGCAGCCTTGGATGGAAGACTGGGATGGCAGAGGCATCACTCACCATCTTACCCTCACTCAGAGTAAGACACTGCTCTTTTTAGCACGTGCGAACGGCAGGTTCAACCAACGCCATAGAACTCCAACAAACCTGCGGCTGGTTTAGCGGCAATCATTCACTCCTTCCGCGCCTTTGTCCCCGACACATTTGACTTGTAATATGAATGTCTCAAGCACCTGGCAGCCAAGGCACGCGGAACTGAGCAATGCAAAGGGCCATAAACGATCCCACCAGTGGCCTTCGTCCTTGGAGTTGTGACCCTTGGCCTCGTGAGAATGATCCTCCGCCACGAGCTCGATGGCATTGGACGAGCCAAAGGGCCAGAGGCGATCCCACCAGTGCGTGGCAGGTGAGTCGTCCTTCACAGCGTCCGGCTTGTGATCGTGCTCGCGGTGCTCGCCATCCTTGTGCTCCCTCTCGTCGTGCTTCTCCTCCAGCTCGAAGGGCCACAAGTGGTCCCACCAATGGTCCTGTTGAGAATTCTTGGAGCTGCTGTCCTGGTGAACGCTGCGATGGTGATGGCCATGCGGCTGTTCGTCCTCATGCCGAGCTTCCTCCAAGGCAAAGGGCCACAAGCGGTGCCACCAACTTGGCTTTGAAGGTTTAGGCTCCGGCGCCGCCTCCTTTTCGTGCTCATGCTGCTTGGATGCCGCCTTGTCGTGCTCGTGGCGGTGCTCCGGAAGCATCAAGGGCTCGAACTGCTGGCAGGCCGCCAGCGGCACCAAGGGCACCAGCAACACCCAGGCCACCATTGCGAGGGAATCCGAGGCGAGGGAACTGATCCGAGGCGAGGGGACTGATCCGAGGGGGCCAGCTGAGCTCACATGCTGCAAAAATCCAAGTTGTCGATACGCATTGACGGCACGAAATGGCAACATGCCCTTGCAGCCGGCAGTTGGCTTTCATTGCCGTCCGGTTGCTAGGGTACTGCTCCGCGCCTCTGCTCTGGTTTCTGCGCTGGCACCTGACAGCAGCAACACATTCTCGACATGAGGCCTATCCTCTGATCAGAAGATGCGTCAACTTCCTGAGCTGCCTGCTTGGTCTTGCTCGCGAACCATCTCTGGCTCCGCGGGCGTGCCTGCATTGCACAGCCAACGGGGGCTGTGCCCAGAAATGTGGAAGGTTTAGCTTTGCAGCCCACTGCATTTACCGCTGAAGGTTTATCCATCCGTCGATGCTGCGTAATAAGCTGCTTTCTGTTCTGCAGTGCGCGTGGCCCTTCTTTGCGGTATGCGTCAAATATATATATATATATATATACACATATATATATATTTTATAATATGCATCATAGAATGGATCAATGCTTACATTAGGACATTCTCCCCCAAGCGCAATTGGGATGCCGCAGAAACTGTGTTTGTTGAGAGGGGTCAGTGTGGCGGAGCTTTTCGTGGACAAAAACCCACCTCGGGCATGGAA